GGAGGAAATACAAAAGGTGGTGATCTTCAGGAACTGGCAAGCATCTATTTCCAAAAACCATTTTTCTTATTGTTTTAAGGCTCTAAGAGTTCCTAAGGTGTCTTATATTTCTTAATTAATGATATTCTGGAAAAAAAATGTAGACCAGCTGCCCTGTGTTTATAAGTTAATCATCTTTTAAGTCCCACAGAGCATAGCAACTTTCTCCCTCAGTCAGCTGTCTAGCTTGAAGATTTGAATGACTTTGTCATGAGCAGTTAACTGTTCAGCAAGGAATTGCTGTTTGGTTTGAGATGACAGAGGAGATGGCTTTCTGATTCAGGTAGCAGTTCTATGCAAACTTTCTGTAGCTACATGTTATGATATTCCTGGTCAACTTAAGTCTCCAACTGTTACAGCAGATGTATTAGTTTCTAGACATTTTATGATGGGAATAGGATATTCCCATGAAGGAAAAGACAAAGAGGTCATCAAAAACAAGGACAGCTTGTCTGCTTTGCAATGGATTATTCATTTAGGCAGATGTATGCACCAGCTACTTTCTTTTTTTTCCCCACACTATTGTGTAATGTGATGAGTGGTTCACTGTCCCTTGAAGGTACCAAGCATTCTTCCATGTTCCAGTGTATAATTTGCAGTGTACCTCAATCATTTGCATTTGTAGGATGATATTTCAGTGATATTCTGAGGTTTTTGAAATGTCTTACACCACAGGAAACAGTCTTGTCATTTTTCCAACATTTTATGCATGTTCTCAATGATCTCACAAGGTCTTCTCTCAGTTTGTTTGTCTGGTTGAGTTTTTTAAAGTATTCAAATTGACCACATTTTGTTGCTATGGAGATTTTAATATCTTTTTTTCCTGGAGATATTAGATATCCTGGCTTCTTTACATTGGTGTTTCTAGGAATCATGAAAAGCTACCAATAAGAAATGTGAGGGATCAGTGAGAGGGATCTTAAGACCCATCATAATTAATAATGTCTTTGTTCTCTATGTTTTCTCTGTTTCTTAGCAGATTATTTGATAATCTTCTGATTTTTGTATGGTATGAATAAGTAGTTGTAATTGCACAATGGTTTTAAATAATTTGTTGCAACAAGACTATTTCTGGCTCAGTGTCAATCACAGTGTCATGTAAAGAGGCTGGAGTACGTGTCTTTAAAAGCATAATTTACTTGATCCATGTATATAAACTGAAATATAGCACTATAAATACCACTGCTGATTGCAGCAGCAAATTGTACTGAATGGCAAACCAATATCAGCAGTCTTTCCTTAACAAAGGTGAGGGGAACCTGCTGAGGATTGATCCTTAATGGGCTGGGAGACAGTGCTTCAGTGTTTCTTCTCTCATTGTTCTTTCTTTGTGCTTCTTCTTGCAAGGTGTGGAAAATTTTCCTTTTCCTTCTTGTTATGCCTTTTGTGCCTTTGGTGTAAATGAGGTGCTCTGAGCATGCTCTGCAGTTTGTTCTCTTAGTTATGCTAAGACACTGGTTCTGCCCTGCTCTTTAGGTTACATTCATTCAGGGATTTGTAATGATGCCTTGTGATTTGTGTTTATACTTTCTGAGGTCTCTGTTACCATCCTCTGCATGGGCTTTCAAGACCTCTTTCTTCTTTTCTTACCTAGCAGTTTTCTATACATAGATATAAGGTCACTTCAGTCAAACCTGCTTCTAAATATCTTTGGAAAGGTCATACTGATTTGTTCAATCTAAAATATTCTCCAACATGTAAAGGTAAAAGCAAAAACTTAATACAAAGCAATTTAAACTACATCACAACCTGCTCAGACAATATTTCAAAATCATTATAATTCATAATAATTATAGGTTATTCATGAATAATTCATTATTACTTTTCTAAGGGGTTTTTTTGCATATTTTACTTAGATATTTTATTAAAAAGCAGATTACCTACAAATATGCCAAGAGCATAAAAGTAATTATTTGATCTAATACCTTTTTCTGACTCCATGTGTGCAAGAGAAAGGCATAACTCAAAATAAATCATAACTCATAGTATATTCATAATAGACACCTAAATTGTTCTCAGTTAAGTGGTAGTCATCGACTTCTCGGCACTATGCAGATTCCCTCCTTCAGGTATCTGACTCTTGCTCTGGAACTGACTTTGATAATTAGGGTAGTAACAGTGTTATGAATTCTAAACACTGAAGAAGATCCTTCAGGACATTAGCATTTATACAATAATTATGAATTTTATTCAGATTATATTCACTTATCAACCTCTGAAAACACTGACGGAGTATAAATGGCACTTGTATTCATTATGATGTTTTCTTATTTTAGAGACACAGAAACTGGAACGTGGCAAGGGGAGTTGGCTTGTGCAGGGTTCCCATTCAGCCCCGGGGTAGATGTTCTAGGACTTGGACTCCTTGGGTCCAGACAAGCTTATTTTTCATGGTCATTGGTTTTGTTGCTTCTTTTCCATTGTCATTAAAAGAAAACATGTTCCCTTTAGATAATATGAGCCTGGCTTTGTGAAGGGGAAACCATTTGCTTTGTGTTTTCTTGTGTCTACTTTGTACAAAAGAGTAAATCGATGTGGTGCAGTAGTACCTGAGCAAATATGCAACCTGAAACCCAGGTCCTTAAATCTATCTGTTTTCTTTGAGGACCAGAGTGTTCACTCCTGCTCCTTCTGTCTCACTACTGTAGCAGACTTGAATTAGTTCTGTTTTACATTTCATGCTGCTCAGAAGTAAAAAGCTTGTGTTTTTGTCATAGGAGAGAGGTGACCTTTATTGTTCTTTTCTGACATACTTGAGAAATGTACTGTAATAACAAGCATAAAAACATGGGGTTTGTATTGAGTCAAGAAAAAGAAATCAGGGGTTTGCGTAGCAATAGTCAACGTGGAGGTTTCCTTTTTATGCTTATGTTCATCTTCTGCTAGTCTGACTGGAGTCTGAATGCATGACAAAGGATGTGTTGCTGCAATACATTACTAAGATGTACTGCATAGGCATTTACATACCGGCAAATTATATAACACTGTTATGGTAAATAAGTTATTAATGGTGAAATGTGCTGTTCTCTGATCTTTGTGGTGATATTTCTTCTCAGAGTGATACAAGACTCTCAGCATTACTTGGGACCCCTGGACCCAAAGGCCAGAAGGGAGACATTGTAAGCATTTTGGATTAGTTCGGAGAAATTTCAAAATGCCTATATAACCTGTCTCTGCCACCCTTAACACAGTATCTTTGATTTATCACAATGATTTTTGAAGGAATAGATTTTAGATCTGACTGGCTCTTTGATCTGTATAGTCTCATGTCCAGCTTATCGTGCTGTCCTGCAGACAGAGCACTTAAGCATTTCTTCTCCAATATATGATAACCAGAAAGGGAAAAGATAGGAAGAACTGTGTGGCTTCTGTAACACTGTCTAAGGAGAGATCAAATGAGCTGGCCTGATGGTTGGGGGAAAAGACTCTAAAAGCTGAAATTCAGAAAATATTTTTAGTAGTACAGCATGAACATTTAAAGTAAATTTTTTTAATGATGAGACTTGCTATAACAAAAATACTTGTAGTCAGCCCTTAAAAATTATATGGAGGTCAAATTCTGAATCCACTATGTAACACTGTAATGTTTGTGGGCATCTGTCCTATTTAAACAGTCAAATGAATTTTTAACACTTGGATGCCTTTTAAACTTGAGAGAAAAGATACAAGTGCTCTGGATATGTCACAAGATTGGCAACATTTTTTGTTGAGAAACATGCTACAGAAGAGTTGTTTAACTCGATTTGCAGATGTTTAATCTCAGATTTTCATTGCAATAAAATTGTAAGATTTAGTACCCTGCATAGAAAAAAAAAATACAGTATAAGGAAGAGTTTATTTGCATTTGTTATAATAGGAAAGGCTTTAAATATAATTTATTTTGTTAAAAGGGTGAAAAAGGAGAATTGGGAATGGCTGGCACAAAAGGAGAAAAGGTAAATGAATTCCTAACTTCTGTGCATGTGTATGATACTAAAAGCTGGCTGGATTGTAATGCTTATGAATCAAATCTTGGAAAACATGCTCAGGATCAAGAAAATATATTGGGCATAGGAAAAGCTGTCAGTCTCTGAATATCCTTAGTAATTTCCTCAAGCCACTTCATGAGAATGTATTTATGTACGGAAGTAAATTTCCCTGTACCAACAGCTCACTAAATCCTTAACTTTAAACACATTCAGACTTTTACTGAATGCTGGTTTAAAATTACGTTTATATAAGTTTAGGACCAGTGATTTCCTTACAAATGAGATGTTGTTCATACTTCTTCAAGTTACAAATGTGATCTTTGGTATCTATATAAATAAACAGGAGTCTTTAAATTATTAAAATTTATAAATAAACTTCCTAATTTAATATATTTTAGATTAAGCTTAAATTGTCCAGAAAGATTTGGGGAATAGATGTGTTTTGTTTGTTTTGTTTTGTTTTTTTTCTAAGAACATGTGACGTATCCAGTTCTTTATCCACAGAATAACAGACCTCTTGCTATACAGCTGTTAACCTTCCAGTGTGTTTATTTGGTTATATCCTTGTGTATAAACTCTTTTCATGGAGGCAGAAACTTTTTTACTCTGTTGATAGGACAGATTCATGATTTTGTGTGTTATAAAGCACTTGTTTTATAGAATTTATCAGATTTGTATGCATCATCACTCTTTTTAGTTCATGTTCCTGACCTTCCCTGCTGCTTCTGCTTGAAAGAGTCACACATGCCATGGTTTTGTCATTAAATCAACAACATCCTTCAAGTAAACCTTCGGATTCCATATACTTACATTTTATGTTGGTTTAAAAAAAAACCCAACATTTTTCAAGCATTCTCCACCAAAACGGGACATACATACTAATGGTTGGACTTGATGGTCTTAAAGGTCTCTTCCAACCTAAAGGATTCTATGATTCTATGATTCTACTTACCACTTGAAATAAACCTGTGTTAACCTCTTCCCTATGTTTCCATAGGGAGAGCCTTCTGAGAAAGGGGACAAAGGAGATCCAGTAAGTGTAGCTATGTTTTGAGCTGTTTCTGTGAATAATTTGCATTTTATATGATTGTCATACTGTATTCGTGCTGTAATTATTTTCTTTGTACACTTTCATTAGATTTAGTGGTTATGTAGAAAAGCGTATGTATTGTCTCCTCATTACACATGCATCAAGTTGACACCAGTTATAAATACACAGAAACCCTCTTCTTCAGCATTTCTGTAGTTGGTAGAGTCCAGGAACTGAGTTTGAAGTATGTGCTTTTTTTGTTCCCTGAAGGTTTGTTCGTTCTTTCTTTCAGTTATTTCAGAAAATTATAGGTGGGCTGAACTGTATGCCTTTAATTGTTTTACCAGTTTATGTGTGGCATTTAACATTAGGCCATTTTATGTGTGCATATTTTTTTTGTGCTTCTGGGGGATATTTTAAGAACACTCATTCTGTAAGAGTTTGTTTACATGTGTTGCTTATTTTTAATCAGCTATTGTCCACTGTTATGACATCTGACAAAAGCTAGTTATGTTGTTTAATACACAACTGAAGGTTGCTCAGATACTTTTGATTAACATACTATAATAACCAAAATGAGACATACTATAATAATGTGTGGGTTTGGCGATGAATACTGTGTCACCAGTAGAGATTTAGTGGTGAAGAATACGTTTTAGACTGGAGAAGTTCTTAAGCAAATGTATTGTTTTCAAACCATTTTTCTTTACAATGCTTGGAAAACCTGGAAACAGTTTGAAGATGAATGCCTTTCAGAGTTTGCACAAGGCATCATAAATTCTTTAATGATTTCTCAATATTTGTTAAATTTGCAAAGTATGTTATAATATTTCAAGGTAGCAAATTAAACTCTTAGTTGATCTTAATTAAAGTATTAACTTCTTATGGTTGTACCTGTTATTTTCAGGGTGAAACTGGAATGGAGGGATCAAAAGGGAATAAGGTATTTTTTTGCTTCTACAAACAATATATCACTGGTGTATGTAGCTGATACTGGGAGCCACAAGAGTAAATCTGGGTACTTTATTTTTTTCCCCAAACAATATCATTAGGGTGAAACAGGAGACCCTGGGCCACCTGGTCTTACTGGAAATCCAGGATCAAAGGTAGGTGAAAGATATTTTTGTGGTATTAATCACAATTATATTCTGTGCTATTATGTAAGAGGGCTCTGAATGCTATCAACTCTTAGTATTTAAGGGCAAAGAATGCAAATAGTTTATATCAAAAGTTTGTGCATGGATCATAGCTATTTTACTTTTAGTTCACAAAATTCTTTTGGCCTCAGTCTGCAAGGAATATTTATGCAAAGCTCAAGCATTATTTGGTCACTCAAGGATATGTACACCAGCTTTACAATTATAAGTCCACTGGCAGCTGAGTGTATTCTTTTTTACCATCAGTGAGGCAAGGAGCAACCACTGCCAGTACATTAGTGGTTTCTATGTTAAATCCTGTGAGACTACAGGTGATGCCAAATGCCTTGCTTTGAAGAAAGTAACTGAAGCACAGATTTCTTGAGATTCTCTCATGGTGCCTTAAATTTTGTCAAATAGAGGTAGAATTGGAAACCGTGAAAATGTAAACTTCACTGAACACTGTTCATGTAGGATATGATCATACCCAAGTTCCTTAGATGATTTTAAAAAGTCCCTGGGAGAACTGCTGTAGTGTCCACAAAACTGTGTTCTTAAAAATAATTCTCCACTCTAACTCCTTAGACTGCTTTTTGGAGGCTAATGTTCTTCCTTGGTAGGAGCTACTGAAATAATTGTTATTATTCCAATGGAAATCTAGGTCACCTTCACACTGTATACCTTCCAGAAGGGGCTCATAGAGATCCAAGGGATCATTAGAGTTTGCATCAAGTAATCCATTTATCTCTACTTCTCAATCCCCTTTTCTTTCAGTGCTCTAGAGTCCTTCTGATGAGATCTATTCCAGAAAGAGAAGGACACCTACTACACAGTTAAAAAAATCACTTCCAGATCTGTCCCTCGAGGGAGGAAATATTGATTTACTTCTTTTGTTTTGTCTTTCCCTTTAGATAATGCCTTTGTATTTGCTTTCTACATGCCAGTCCCAAAGATTTATTGGACTATATGTTAGATTAACGGAGCATGAGTAAACTCTGTACTTCTTACTCTCTGTAGAAGATCATTCTTAATGACATGTTTTAATCTATTTATATATGAGAACGCTTTACACTGAATTAAAACAGGTGTGTTGTCTTTTACCTCAAGCGTGTATTATATCGTTTCACAGGGACTGCAAGGACCTCCAGGACCTGTTGGACCCAGGGGACTGCCAGGAGAAGTTGTATGTATTGTGCAATTTCACCAAGCTATTGAAGTTTGTGTGAGAACAATTAGCCAGCAAAACAGTACCACAGAAGTTATCATAGGTGCTCCTTTTGTGAGTGGTGCCGTACCAATCAGGTGTCAGTCACAGTAGTTGGGATACCTCAGAATAGACTTCTGCTATTTGCTTTTGTTCTGTTGTCCTTGTGTTACCATCTGAACAGAAATTATGATACTGATTTGTCTGATTGACAGATAATTAGCTCTACAAAAATCACCCATCTCACAGGAGTAGGTGAAAATGAAAAGAATCTATGGAAGACTTAATAATGTTACCTAAGAGCTGGAAAGGACAGTGTTTGTGGAGAGGAACGGGAAGAAAAGGGAAGCAAGAGTACCCCATGGGTTTAAGCATATGGCCTTCCTCGTTTCTGTCTATGTTTTTTTATTATTCTGAATTGGTTTGCTTCCTGTAAAGTGGGTAAAGATTAATAAGGTGAAGAGAGCAGACTATTACTTCTATTATCTTAGAGTTTAGATCATATTTATGAGTAAAACTCATATTCAAAGCAAGACATAACTCCATTAAAACTAGGGACAATATTAAAATCTTTAGCCAGAGTAGAAGTATTAGTTGGAAATAATTTAATAGAAAACTCCTTTTTTAATTGCTGTTCAATAGATTAAATTACTGAAATACTTCTGCAGAAAGTGGAATGAGGTATTATTCTTATTATGATTCCAGTGTAATTCTGCAGAGGCTTACTGACAGTAATGAAGTACCTAAAGCCACTATATGGTTGCCATAGGTGAAAAATAACTTAATTTGTGAACACTGGCAGGTGGCAAATAATGTGTTTGTGCATCCATGTGAGAATGTTAAAACCTGAACTGTTGAACTCTCAAGCAGAAGCCTACTACTTGTTAGGTGTAACAGTAGGGGCTGCTTTTAAATTTTGATAGCACCTGGACTAAACAAAAGTGGCACTTCCTGGGGTGTCCAGTTAATAAAGAGACATGAGGCGTCATCAGTTTGAAGGCTGACCAAGTGTGCTTCTGCAAATAGACTACTTAGATGGTAAGAACTGAGGTATGAAGGTACTCAGAAGATGAAGTGGTGCCAAAATAGAAGGGTACCTCAAACGAAAGAGGGGTTCTCTCAAGAAAGAGCAGGAAGATCCTGGCTGGAGGAAAGATCCTGAAAGTGTGGGAAAGTCATGGATATCAGAGGGGTGCATGGAGACAGTGGCTAAGGTCCCTGGCAATGAATGCCTGAGAATGGTAACTGTGAGCAGCTGCACAACACAAACCAAGGCAACCTGCTGCCCAGCAATCCCAGACGAGCAAGTCTCCCTGCTGGAAAGGGAAGTCAGGACCCAATGAACGTAACACTAAGAGGGGAACATGCGAGACTGTGAGCTAATCAAGAGGGGTAAAAATTCTTATCTCAGTGGTTCTTAAATAAACCCCAATATCCAGATCCCCTACAGGTGTCAGATGATGTCAGAAGCAGGATACAGATGGTTGACTGAACTTTGACATCATGGCCTGTTGAAGGAGGCCCTCCAAGAGGAGTTGGGGGGATGGAACACCTCACCAGAGGTGCATTGTGCATGTCACCTTTATGCCTGTAGGTGAAAAACTGATAGGTTGCGATTGTCAAGGCTGTGGGAGGGTCTCAGACAAGTTTTAATATAAATGTAGTTATTATGCTTTCGAGTGCCCCACATATAGGTCTACCAACTGGTTGGGATTAGTCAAGGTCTAATAGGGCCCTCGTTTATGGAGTTTTAGTGTGCCTGCAATCATTATGCCACTGGGCAACAGACTAATGGGTCTGCTGGCCAGCCAGGATCCCTCAAACTGGTAGGGTCCTCCCCCAGCAGCCAGCATGCCTGTAACCCTTGTGCTTCTGAGCAGGAAGAACACAGGTGAAATTTCAGCCCCATCTGAATACTCTAGGAAATATCATAAACTATTAGGCACTGTTATACTAAGCATGAAGGTTCCCTGGGCATTTGGCTTGTTACCCTAATATAGCAGAAGGCCTCCTCTGAGGAGATGGCTGCCTATCTCCCTTCCAAATTATGGCACAATCCATTTTGGGTGTGCAGGCAACTATGTTTTGCCTAATCTCACAGGGAAAATGAAAGTAAGATTTGGTCCACAACAGTGGTGTTGTCACATAACCTAACAAGAGGAACGTACATTCTCTCCCTGGTTCTCCTCCATTTCCTTTGTAAGCCTTAAAATGGTTTTTAAGGAACATCTTGAAGGTTTGACTGATTACATCCAAGAAAAGCAGGCAAAGGAGAGCTTGGATTTATCCTAGAAGTTAAGCCATTCTCCTGAAAAGAACTGGGATTTTGGTCTTTGCTCTGTGGGTTGTTTGGTTTTTATCTTATTTCTACACACAGAAGCATCTAGGAGCTGCTATTGCTGCATTTTCTCTTACGTCTTTCCACACATGCTCTGAGACTACTTTATGGAAGAGAACTCTTAATTTGAACAGATTTTAAGTCATAAACTTCATTAATATTAAAATACAGTTCTGGGTGGTACACAGCTGGCAGAACTTTTTTATTGTTGACCTGTTAAAAGCCTTTGGGATTTAAGAAAAAGTGACAGCTGGAGTACAGCTTCTTCAGCTCCTGGGAGGGAAAAGAAACTGGAGTTCAAATCTGCATATAGTCATTTTGTACTGTGCTACTTATTAACCATTTCTTTATAACTTACCTACTCAGTTGAGGCACGCGTTTTTTTTAATTGTGTCTAATTTACCTGCCCTCTATAACAATGGTTTGTAAGCCTTTCCTGCTGTGCTTCTATTAATATGTAGATTCCAAATCTTGCTGTGAAAGATAACAAAAAAAAAAAATAGATAGAAATAGATAGATAACCTGCATTTCAGGTTTGCTTGTGTGGCCATCATCCCACTCAAGGTCATAACTGATGCTTTTGAAACTGCTGTTCTGCTGGATCTTGGACCAAGTGATATTATGAATAATATATATACAATGTTTGTAGATCCTAGTTATGGATTAATTTGGAGATTCATATTGTGTACACACAATTCTAGTATACAAAAGCATATATTTAAACATATTACAGAAATATGTATCTAGATCCAAGCTCTTTATTTTGTTTTATCTTCTAAATATGAAACATGGATTAACAAATCTAATAATTCATTTTATGCACCATGATGAAAATTATGAAAGGTTGAAAATTGTTTTACTTTCACTTATGTCATCAAAGATTCGTCCAGCAGATTAGACTTGCTTCTTTCCTAAGATATTTCTTCAGTTTGGTCCAACAACCAAAAGAAATAATCAGAAAAATCCTTAGGAAGAAAGACATATTATATATATCTTAAGTCCATATCAAAAGAGAATAAGGTAGGACATGATGCCTGATCCATAATCAGTAAATTTAAAGTTCCATATATTCTTATAATGATTTTGTGTCAGTATAGGCAGAATATTCTCCATTAAGGAAATTTTTTTTTTTTTAATGCTTTTAATTTGGTTGGCTGGGTAGGACAAGTCTGTGTTAAGAACAGAATGCAGCAGAGAAAGTGCACATACAGCTGTTGAACCCTCAATACTGGCATGAAAGTGTGTCATCCTTCATATGTCAGTGTACATAAAACTATGCTTTACACTGTGAAGAAAAAGAAAAACAATATGTGTTTCCTTATCTTTTTCTTGGAAAGTTCATTTTTCATTCCAGATTAAGTATCATACTAAGATTTTACTGTTTGGTTATGGCAATTTTATCATTACACCAGAAAAGGTTTTCTGTATTTGTTACAACATAGCAAGAGAACACAATTTAACCTTTGCTATTATTTAAATAGTTTCTATTTAGATTTTAATCTATTTAATTTCTCTACATTTGTAACAAATCCTTCATAAAAAAGGCAAAGGAAAATACTGCACTTAAAAAAATTAAATGTGAAAATTAAAATGTGAAATATGAGAAGATATAGACAAAATAAAAGGATGGAATGTATTTGTTTTGCTGAAAATATTTGACTGTCCATTAAATATCTAAAACATTTTAAAGGAATTTAGTGGACTGAGTAATGTGCAGGAGTAGGAATTCATTGAGACTTTTAAGATACAAATTTGAAGATACAAATTTAAATAACTAACTAGTGTAAGAAATTATGCAGGCCCTCCCAGGTGAAAAAGATGAGACAATCATTTACAATTCAGGTTTGTACCTGTTATGGCCTTCCTTGAAAAAAGGATTGATTTCTAAGACTTGGAATTATTTTGAAATTGAAGAAAGAAAGCTGTAAGTCTCTGCCATTCTGCACCGATAGGGTCCAGAAAATAATCTTGATTGTATTTCAACTGATTATATTTCAACTGATTCATATATTTGATTAATAAAGCATTAATTAACTTGCACTCTTTAACATTTTGGGTCAGTGGGTCATGGTAAAATTGCTTTCAACTGTAATTTTAGATAATCTTCAAGGGAATGGCTATAAAAATATACAGTTATGTTCTTATTAATTCCAGGGTTTACCAGGAGAGCATGGGGAACCAGGAAACCCAGGAGTTAAAGGAGACAAGGTATGTTTTAAGTATTTTTAATTAAGCTTGATATGTTACAGCATATTAGACTGTCATCTCTGAAGTAACCTCCCACCATTCTGTAGTGCATCTGTGTGGCTGCTATATGAATTTATTTTAAAATCTACAGGCAGCAGCCCTCTGCTCCTCAGAGATGCTGCAGGCCAATTTGGCAACCCGATTGCTTAATATTTCAAGGAGATTGCATTGGGCTCTTACGTTAAATCTGTGCAGCGCAGATATGTCAGTTCAGGCCCTGACCACAGAACAGCCTTTGCAGTGTACTGTCCTGGCCAGGCTAATGTGTAAAAACCCACTTCACAGTCAGGCTTCTTCACCATGGCAGAGCAGTGGGGCAGCCACACGCTCTCAGCGTGTGGTTGCAATCATGGAAAACTGAGAGAATGCTAGTTACTGTTAGTGGTTCTGTGGTCCATGCCTCCTCTTCTTCTGTAACGTCTTAAAGGGAAATACATGGAATTTTTCTGCTCTATTTCTTCTCAAAGTACTGGCACTTTCTAGGATAACCTTGATAATATTTTGTTTTGTTTTGTTTTTCATAAGAGGAAATTCTCACATTTCAGTTAGTGATTCTGATTTATCTTGTAGGGAGACCCAGGTGGGCTCATGGGACCACCTGGACATCCAGGTCCAAAAGGTGACATGGGGCCTCCTGGACCAAGTCTGCCTGGAACACCAGTAAGTCATTAATCTGAAAAGGACCTAAAGGCTTTATTTCTAGTGACATTTCTAGTGACATGACTTTGTGTCAAAGAAATCAGAACAAATATTTTTTTGGATGTAACGTCAAAATTGAAATATATCTTATAGTGGTATTCTAAATGCATTAAAATATTGTCTAGAAACAGAGAAATAGTGCAAGGGTCACACATGTTCTTAGAGCTAGTGGTATTAACAAGAAAGACATGTAAGTTTGTCATGGTTTATTCCACTAAAAAAACAGCTAGTCTCTTTGATTTCAAAACATAATTTGTTGTTTTTTTTCTTTTTTTTTTTTTTTTTTTTAGGGTCCCACTGGTGTTCCTGGAAACCCGGGTCCACGGGGACCAAAGGTATAAAATACATATTTCTGTTTCTAAAAAAAGCAGAATATTAATATGCTAGTTTACATTTTCAGATCTGTTGTAACTAAAAGTCTTGTATCCTTCTCAGGGAGAAAGAGGACTACCTGGTGTACAAGGAGCACCTGGGGAGATGGGACCACCTGGGATAGGCATTCAGGGATCACCAGTAAGTATACCAATGCCCAGAATTTGGGCTTCTCACTGTGCATCACCGAGAAACTGCAACAAGTAAACAAAGCACAGTAAAAAGCCATGCCATGAACTTCCTTCTGACTAAATTCCCAACTCAGCATCTTTTCCTTTTATGCAGACCCAGAAAGATCTAGTACTAAGTGAGAAATGGGAGCCTTGGAAGACAGAAGGAGTTAATGAATGCTTTACAGATGAGCTTCTTAGTGATAGTGTTGAGACATCTTCAGACTGTGTCTGTTTCTAAGCAACAATTGTTCACAAAACCCAGCCTGAGTTACTGGTACAAAAGAGAAGTATACTCAGTGTTGGAGATGATGGCATTTTTAAATTCATGCTGGTATTGAAAGAGGGAAAGACACATGGAAGAGATATGGAAAGCTTGACACTAGCTCCTAGCTCTTGCATTTGTGGTGGCTGCTAATTATAAGCTTAAGTCTACTGCTTAAAAAAATTTCTGATATTGATGGTGTAGATGGTAGGTGGTACATTTTATCACATAAATTCTGCTGTGGTGAAGAGGGCAATCTCTGTTCAATCCAGGTTAATACACACATCTGATATATTTCGTTTTATTGACAGGACTCAGGAAGAGAGAAAATGGTTGAGAAAGGTGACTAGAGGTTCACACTGAGATCTTAATCTAAAATAACAATCTTTAAAAGTAATTTGTTGTGTTTAAATATTTCCAAATCTGAGTTGTAAAAAATAACACGTTTATATTTAATCTAATTTGGTTTATTCAATAAATACCAACTTTTCTTTTGAATCTCCTGGCTAAATATCAAGTTTCACCACAGATGATTATTCTTTGGTATTACTCTCCCTTAAAAATGGACCTCAGCAAAATCTTGAATTCTCTAATTTTGGCAAAATTATATTTGGATTTAGAGCCAAACCTTGGAGCAAGTCTTTCTTGCAGTGCAAACTGCACCAATATCTCAGATTTGATATTTTTTTTTATGAAATTCATCTCCCTTATCCCAAAAAGTGTGACTACTGATTATTTGGAGTTTTCTCACAGGGTCCTATAGGTCCAACGGGATCAGCAGGTGTGCAGGTAGGATATAAGTTTTTTTCTTTAATACAAAAAAAAAATTAATTTAGTTTAAGGAGTTTACTGTAAAAAAAAAAATTTCCTAAATGGCCTTTCCTGCTCTTAGGGCCCTAGGGGACCCCCAGGATTACCAGGAACTCCAGGTACCCCTGGTATTAATGTAAGTGAAAATTCTCTATATATACTGCAAAAAGTAATGTCCCTCATCAATGATTCAAGGCCATCAAATTTTACATGTGTTTCCAGGGCACTCCAGGAAGAGATGGAAAGCCAGGACTGCCAGGCCCTCCAGGTGACCCTGTACGTATACACAGAAAGGTTGTGCATTTGCTCTGGTGCAAACATTTTAAATTTAAAGGAGGCCAGATAACATAACAAGTCTAGAAGTCCAATTAATTACATTAATTTGATTATTCTATTATTATATCCTTTGGGGTTTGGAGTTTTTTTACTTGATTATATTGCAGTATAAATTCCATTTATGTTAACATATGCAGGATAAATACCTTGTTTTCAGATGTTATAGTTTGTATACTAGAGCTTCTGCCAGGCTATAACTTGGCATGCTGCTCCTCAGTCTCAGAAGCAGTTCCGTATAATGAAAATTTTCAGGATCATACTTTGATAATTCCTGTTAGAAGACTGAAAAGTTTGGGGATTCTGAAGCTAATTTTGCTATGCTACAGAAAGAAGGCATTTATTTTTAATGAAATTCTGAGACTACTTATTCTCTGATGCCGTTAATTGCCTTTAGCACAAATAAATAGTTAAGTGACTGAGTCTGTAAAGAAAAGCACTAAATAAATTCTGATCCTTCACCATACTTTAGGAATTATCAGCTTCTCCTGGGTATGTATAACAGCAATGATTTGTACTTACGAATGCTATAGCTTTACAGATTTTGTGAAGTCCAGTAGTACAGGATTCAAAGAGCCTGCACATGTCTCAGACCAAACTGAACCAGTAAAGATAATTGATTATATTACATGGGAGTCAGGAGAGTGTGATATGTATATCTGCAAAACTGGTATAAAAGCAAAACTTCAGTTGTTATTCCTGATCCTGTCTACAGTCCCAGCTACCTCAGGTCTTTGAAAAAGGAAATTTCTCTTTAGAAACAAATGTTTACAGAAGCTTTTATGACAAAAAATGAAGCTTTCTGAATTGCCTGAGTGTTTTTTCAACATAAGTAAAATATGCTGATGTAAATAAAATAAATAAAAGTACATAGATGATTGGAAGAAGCAAACAAAAACTGGAGCTTAACAAAAGAATTGTTAGACTTGCCTGTAAACCTATTGTTTTTATAGGCTTTGATATTTCCCAAGAGATTTTAGACAATTTTGAAGACAACAGGGAGTCACAGTGATAGTGGTGGTATTTATTTGAAACATATCAGAACAAAGGAAAACAAAAATTACATTTGAACTGTATTATGCCCTTTAGCGAGATCTCTGTTCCTTACCAAGGCATGAAAAAAAAGATGCTTTTCAGAAAATACATAACATTAATTTAATTGAAAAAATAATTAGTTAAAGAGGTATTAGATACAGCATGAAGATCGGGTGTAATTCACTCAAGGAATGAACCAAAGCAGTCTCTAAGTGGTAGAGAAGTGACCTATGCATGATAAAGCAGAAACGCAAGATGGCATAATTTATATGAATTAAGTCGTAATAAGAATCAGTCACAGAGTAAATCAGATTTTTGACTTTGGAAGGTTAACTTTCTTGGGAAAGACAAGGAAACACTCATGTTACATACTTTGGCTTCAATAAAACTTTGAGACTGTCCTCATGATGTTTTTATAAGCAAACAAAAATGCTCGTGAAGTAATTGCTATATAGTTAATGCTTATAAAAAAATATGGATATATATCTATCAGCAGATTACTGTCAAACATGCAAAGAGACAACCTCTTGCTCAGTTCTTATTGATTTAATTTGGTCAGTATAAGCAGATACTCAGAAGTTGGACTGGGAAAGTTTGCTAGCTTTTTGGAGATACAATCAAAACTTAAAATACAGAGGCAGTATGGAGTCAACAAGATTAAATTTGAGATCGATTAGCATGAAGTGCTTAAGGAAAAAACAAGCACCATAAGTAGAATAGGTATGGAAGGCACAGTCCACTGTGAACTAACTGTAAATAAAAACTCTGATGTCACGGTTAAACAGAGGTCTAAATAGTAATGTTTACTAACAGGAGAATCACTGCCTTTTTCTCTCTTGAAATACTCTACTCTATGGAGGGAACATTTTAAAAGGAAAATGTAGCAAGCAGGAGTGGGTCTGGAGAGTTAAGGCCATTTTAACGTTTTCAAAAGCCTGTCATATGCCATACATTTATTCAGAGTTCAGCATACACAGCTGTGACTCTATGGTATGTGTGCAGTTAGGCTGGACTTGCTGTCAAACTGTGTGACACAAACACAGTAGGCTTCCTCTCATACCTGGTGTGCCCTTGCAGCTGGTGGTTAGGACCCTTTCACAGAAGAGTTTGGGGGCCTATACCATACAATGATGTTGCAGCTAAAATAAGAAAATTAGAAAAGAGGAGAAACTGAGGAAATTAGACTTGTGTAGTCCAGCAGAAAGACCAACAGGTGACGTGGGAATAGCCTGTGTATTGGTAAACTGTTGTCACAAGAAGGGTGAAAAGTCAGGCCCTGTAGAGAAGTGGTTGTTGTTTCTAAGCCTTGTTACAGGTTTTTAAGAGCAGGTGACACTGTGTGTGTCATAGTTTACCTTTGTGCAGAGGATGGACTAAATACCTTACATAGTTATGTGCTTAAGTTGTGTTAGGTGGCTATGTCTCACCCTAGAAAACTTCTCAGCATGCTTTAAAGGTGGTGATGTGACCCTGTAAGTGAAGCGCTCCTGGTTACACTGAAGTGTATTCAGCAGTGCTTTGCTTGAGCTGGTGTGTGACACCCATTGCTCCCATCAACAGGTTTTATAATACACTACAAAAGTGCTTACTTTTCATTTTTCTTCTTCAAGATGGAATGATTGAAACAGACTGAACAAAATCTGTCATGAATTTTGAATGCATCTAATTTTATAGTGTGCCCAGGGCTATTCTTACTTTAGCAACTGCAAGAAGAAATGAGCATTGGTAATTGAAGAGTCCATTTGTGAGTGAAGCTCTGATAACCAATGCAATTGGTTTTTACAGAGTGTCTTTAAATATAAGCTTAAAGGCAGCACATGGAAATCTGACATGTCTAGCAGTATGATGTAAACTTATTGATTAAGCTTTAAGTGGGTTATTTAGTATTGGTAGCAATTTAGCAGTGGCACCACAGAGTTTTGTACTCAGTGGTTAAAGGCAGGACAAAATACTACGTATATATTTGCTGCAGCTGGATTATTTCCAGTATCTGAGTGTCACAGAGGCACCCACAAACCAGACAGCAGTAGCTACCCAAAATGCAGATTTATTACAACCAAAAATTACCCGGCTCTCTGACAGACCAAAGTAATTTACAGGTTAGCATGTCAGGTAGGAATATACTACTACACCACTAATTCCTAAGTTTTAGGAATATTCCTTTTAGAAAGATGAACCAAAATGTGCACATGCTTGCTCATAAAAGGGAAAACAACCCACTCCCCTGCAAAATTTCCCTGGGCAGCATCATGATCCCAGGGGAGTGGCCTTGATTGTAAACCCACTTGCTCCGAGGGAACCGGTTCAAAATCAGTTCTCTGGCTGGACTCCATTTATACCCTAGTTGAGTTTAACTGTGCTAATTCTAATTAACTGGGAGGAAGCACATGACAAGGGCAGGCTAAGGGCCTGAAAAAAATGTAATCAAGTTTTAATGGCCGTGAAACCCCAGTCTTTATCGGGTCTTCACTAAGCCTTGGTTGTTGTCAGGCCTTTGTCAGGGTGGCTGCATCTGCCACACAGAGCTACTTCATTAAGTTAGTTTCAGCATCTTAACAGTTCATGCTACATTTCACAGTGAGTCAAAGTCTAGGAGAAAGCAGAAGAGCAATTGAAGTTGATCTGGTGAGAAAGTCTCGGAGACTCCAATAGCAGTAGGTTGTTGCTGATATGCTGCAAAGCCATTAATATATTATTATTATTACTTTAAAGTGAAATTCACTATGTTCTGGCGTTACATTATTGTCATGGTTTAAGGAACTTCACTGGAATTGTAACAAGGAATTACATTATTATGTTGCATAGACAGCAATATTTAACTATATTTTGAAACCCAGATTTTTCTTCTGAGTTTTCATTAAAAACTAGCTTTGACCAATATATCTGTAATCAGCTACATGTGTAATTAAAATTTAGAAGCAATGAGAAACCATCAGAATTGGTAATGTTGTGTAAAATATTAACTGCAGCTGCCTTTTTTAAATTTCAGATTGCACTGCCACTTGTGGGAGATATGGGTGCCATACTGAAGGTAAATGTTTTCAGAGGTTAAATAACTTCGAGTACTATAAGCATGCTTTTTAAACCGAAATATGCACTTGAAAGTTTCTGTCGGTTCAATTCTGGCCTACTTGGCTAGCCTAAAATAATTTTAAGGTTTTTTTTTTTTTTTTTTTGGGGGGGGGGAGAGGGTAGAAGGATAATACTCAAAAACTGTATTTTATAAGAATTCAAAATAGTATTTGAATGGTATGTGAAAATAGTAGCCAGCAAGTACCCGTTCAGCACATCCAGTCCACAGTATGAATTGCTACAAGTACATCCCATTTTCTGCTTTACTTTTTAGCATTAATATTGATAATTTACCAAATGGAGAAAATAGTCTAGAAATTCTAAGGCAGTATTTTGAAAAGTAATAAAATCTGAAGTGATCTGATGTATTCCAAAATAGGAGAATTTCAGTACAAAAAGCACGCATTTCTGAGGAGGGAGATTATCCCATTCTACTGTCCTTTATTAATATATGTACTTGGTGTTTGTTGACTTTCTCATTCCCAAAATTGATTTCTTTTAGGTCTGTCTTTGGGCTTTTCCCTGATTCTTTCTGTTTGTATTGTTTTTCTCCTGTATGTAGGAATCATTTACTTTAAAATAGCCATAGATTTAAAGCTGGTGAGAGTAGCTTTCATCTCAAGATAATCCTTAAAAGGAAGATGGTTTGGTCAAACATAAACACAGGTGTGCCTGGGACTGTTCAAAATGAAGGCATTTATGAGTCCTCTCAAAATGAAGCTAAAACTGTTAGCCTGGTTTGAGCATCTGAGAGATGGGGAGAGAAGCAAGGATATCTGAACAAGTAGACTGTGTAGAAAAGAGAAAGGATTGAAGAGAAGGCTTTGGGGTAAAAACAAGGGATGGTCACAAAGGCAGGAAGGAAGCAGTCTGCATAGATCAGACCTTCTACCTATGTCATAAGAGTAGTTATTTGTCACTTCTCTTTCTGTCTGTTCCTCAGGGTGAGCCTGGCACAAGAGGTCCTCCAGGCATCCCTGGTAGAGAAGGGCCAAAGGTAAGTCTTGAAGAAAGTACTTTACATTGCTTTGTTGCTTCTTAAATGTAAAAGTCCAGACTTCTACCTTTGACAGTCTTGACTTCTTTGTCTTATCCCTTTCCCTGTTGCATCTGAACAGCATAAAGGTTCCAACACTTTTTACGGTTCAGCCCTATTCCTGTGTCACTTTGCCTTTCCTCCCAGGAAAGAGAGCAAAATAGCCCGAGTCGAGTTCCTATCCAGGGTAGCTCTTCTGTGTCTTGTGTCCACTAAAGGCAGCTCAGATTTGATTGTCCAGTTATGCATTGCCATCTATAGGCTTATGGTAGGTGAGTCAGTCACAGAAGAATCCTGCAGTGAAGACAGAAACCCCACATCTCCCATGAGTGTGTAACAGCTGGACCACCCTCTGCCCCTGCACTGTGTGCCCGTGGGAGTAACACAGATGTTTCACCAGGACTTGAAGTTTCACTGATGTCAATCAAAATGCTACTTCACTGTAATCAGAGGGAATTGGATGCCATATGGTTTGGCATGTAGATAGCTCCTATAGTTGAGCTTAGTTCCATGAAAGTGCAGTTTCTCCATTTCAGCAAGTATTTAAGCTCTTTGATATTAATGTAATGTCTTCATCAAGCCTTTTTGCTAGTTTGCCTACTATGTCAAAGCCACTCATTTACTTTTACCTCAATGGGAGACATATTTTAAAGCTTCCAGGTGGTATTTTTTTTCTGTTTTAGGCATTGTTGCTGTAAGGGCTTCATACAAGCATATATTAAAAGTGAGTCCTAAAATGCCCTACAGAGCATGAAATTTGTTGCTCTTTAATAGAAAGTATTTGTTTGAATGTTACATTTTCACAGGGAAGCAAAGGTGAACGTGGTTTTCCTGGGCTTGCTGGAGAGAAAGGCGATGAGGTAAAATTACTTCTATTTCTGTAGTGGCTACATTCTTATTTGAACCTGAATAAAGATCTAGATCAAGAACAAAATACTCAGAATGTTCTTTAAAACATGCACAGTTCTTTAAAAGTGCTGAGATGGCAATGTATTGCTATAAATAGCCCTTGATTCTGAATTTTCAACAAGATTAAATTATATTATTAAATAACATCTATTCAAGTTTTGTCTGAGGCCTTTTGCTCTTCTTTGTATTTTAAAGCCTTACATGCATTTAAACACTAACTTTTAGGAGTATAGAATAGAGCAATGTATAGGCAAATGCCAAACTTTTTCAGAAAATATTTCATATTTTATAATAAACTTGCTTTCATTCTGTTAGTTTCCCTTTAGAATTTACTTTAAAAAACATTCCATTAGGCAAATACTCTGATAGAAAGAGTCATAGCAGCAATTACTATTAAATGGAAACTGAAAAATGTTTGAAGAGACTGAGTTTAAAATTTTTACAGTATTTTGTATCATATACTTCATTGTTAGAATTATATCTATGTCAGTGTTTTGCCAAAGACCAGGCCCAACAAAAAGGATAACACCAGCAGGGAGATGAACCAATATGCAGACTGTATTGTAGACAGAAATGTTACTATATGAATGACCGCCGGGGGTACAAACAGGTCAACAAGCTCGTACATGATCGACGCCACCCCCAGCGATCCCACAAACGACATGAACCGGCCCACAACAGGTGGTACAAACAGTGAACCGAGGTTGCCCATAGTTGGCATGGGAAACAGCCAGACCAGCCAGTTAAACACATAAGAGAAAGGTGCCCACATGGCAACTCTCACCCGATTGACCCGTGTTCGCAAAGGCCTAAACAGACCACGGCCCAGCTCCAGGGAGAGTCAGGAGGTCTGCCCTGAACCAGGAAGCTCTGGGGAGTGCACTCCACAGACAGACCCTCCTGACTCCCTGCAAGTGGTCCCAGCTTTTATCCCCAAGCAGACACCTGACCTTTGTCAACTCACTGCGGGACCCCTGGGGCTCATTTCCCTTCTGGCTCTCCCTGCAGGGCCGGCCGCACCCTGGGGGGAAGCTATAAGGCAAACTCACCACCTCTGTATGAAGGGCTGTGGGAATCACCCGTATGTCAACCTTAATTCACGGGTTTGGGGTTCAAACCCCAGCATTTCAGTCAGGAAAAAAAGCCATGTGACTCATGATGCCAAATCCAAAATAGCTGCTACAGCTTTAATTTTAAGCTGAAATATTTGCAGTTAACGTTTCAAGAGCAATCTCTGCCAGGAAAAAAAAAAAAAAAAAGGCAGATGCTATTAAGCAAATGAATCTGAGTAAATAAATAAATTTTCTAATGACCTTAGCCAACTGAAGGAGTTAAAATCAGTAGTCTGTTAGAAAATATTTGGTGAACACATCGAAATTCCAAAATACTTAACTGGCACTGTTAAATACATATTACTCTCTTGGAATTTGGGAGGCTGCTACAGGAAAAAGCACTTGGAAAATATAACAGGACTTCAGAGCTTATTGACTGAGGATTTTGTAATTCTTTATAAGCATTTTACATTTCTTTGACACTAAGGCCATAATATAATAAGAATCTTGAAACAGTAGTAGAATGAGAATAATATTCAAAACTGTGAACAATAATGTGTTCATCAGGATCCTTGGCTTCCAAAAGTAAACAGTTGTATGAGGGAGGGGAAAAAAAAAATGCAGCAGACTCATTGGATAGTATCCCTACTACTACTTTGCCCCAGAATTTAACAGATTGTTAAACTAAAGTATTATGCTTGGTTTTCCTCTTCTTTTCACACGATCTATAGAGCTCATTATGTCTCTGCTTCTTAAAAGCAAGTGCCCCTTGAGGTTGGATTTAGAACGTATACCTCAAAATGATGGGGCAACCTATAGGCGTAGCCCAAGCAGAGTTTTACTTAAAGTAAATGGGAAAGAAACACATCCTTTGTGTGCCCTGTAGGGTACCTCTACAATTCAACCTTAGCAGTCTGAGGCATTAGCAAAATGGTTTCAACAGTTCAGACAGTGTTTAACTGCTGAGACTCAAGTGAGATATTAGAGGCAATTAAGAAGGTAATAAGGGAAAGACAAGATTATAACTGGCAGTTAGTTTTTTTTAAAGGACCCAAAGTAAATTCATTCTAAATTTTTGTTATTGATTCTGTAGAGTGCTGTGTTTGTTAGTTAGATATTCACACACTTCACTGTTTAACAGCTGATTAGCTGCCTTAAATTCTGATATTTTCAGTGTTTAGCAGCAGCTTTTGATTATGACATTATGAGTGGGCAAGTGAATTTGTTTTCAGAAACACGTATATAAGAGTTTGCAAAGCTTAAAAGTAACTTTACAAATCTACGAATTTTAGAAGAATGCATTTATTTTCATTTTTGTGATTTGATTAGCATGTGAATAGGAAGAGAGATTGAGAAGCTCACCTGAAGCTCTTTGAAATATACTCATTACCTCCCAAGTGCTTTTGAATAGCCCTTTAATCTCTGTTGAAGCTTATCTCTCTTCCTTTTTAATTCGTTCCTATTTTCAGGGTGGGATTTTACTAACACCAGTAATAAGAATTACAGAAAAATGTTTGTTTGGCATCAGGATCGGGCAGAAAGCATCAGTAATTTAGATAGCATCAGGTAATATTGAGTTGATAATCTTAAAGGTGTTTCCAACCCAAACAATTATATTATTCTTTGTCTTCTCAACAAAAAAAAAAAAAAAAAAGCCTCTAGTGATAGAAAATTAATCTCTGAGGGAAAGCCAGATGCTCTTATCAGTACAACTGAAGATAAGATGATGTACAGGATATTAGCTAATAGTGTGAAAGGTTGAAGGACAAGTGTTATCAGTCAAGCAAGAATTTTCCTCTAACCTTATTCAATTATAGTCTCTTCCCTACATTGTGAGGGTTTTTTTAATTCCTAAAAATAATGTTAACCTTTTAAATGAAAATGTGCTTTAATATGGTTATAATACTGCTGAATATAAGTAGGTGTTGAGGTATAAGTGCAAGAGGCAAAAGACATACACTCTTCTAATTTCCAGGGCCTCCAAGGTGCTCCTGGACTGCCGGGCATACCAGGACCCAGTGGACCATCTGTAAGTCTGTGGTGTCACCTGTAATCTAATCTGTCTCTGCAGAGGCTGCTATAACTGTCTAGGACAACTTCTTCTTCTTAGTTTCTTTGTCCTTTCTTTTAGCTTTTAAGAGAGTAATAAAATCTTACCCATACGGTCTCTAATAAACTATGTTGTGAGTTGGTGTTACTGAAAATACTGTCATTGTCTCAGCTCAAAGTTTATGTAACTTAAATGGGTTTGGATTTTTGGCATTTCAAGAGACTCTGTGAGGTTATAGGATTTATGATGTGCAAACTTACAGTTAATTCTCTATTTGTACCCAAGTTACAGTAATAATGTTAGTAATAAAAATCTAAAAATAATTCCAGCTAAACATTCTGAAAACATTTGATGCTGAAACCAAGTAGTCACTTGGTTTCACAACAAAAAAAAAAAAAAAAATGAGAATAAGCTGACAATATTTAAAGTCACTGAAAAAATGTCACTAAAAATGTTGGTATTTCTGGGAAAACTCCTCTTGGAAATTTTTTAAATTTTATTTTCTACATAGTGAATGGGATCATTATTCATTCCTAGGCTGCTGACAGCACTAATGCGTCCCTTCTTTAAAATTTGTAACACATTTAGGAATTTTAATGTGAAATATGTAAATTGGCATTTTAGCAGTAAAGCATGATTCGTAGTGTCAAGAAATGCCAGTTAAGGTCAGTGCATTTAGTCTGCCAAGGTGAAAATTCAACCACAAACACAAGTTTTACCCTTCAAAGGGCTTATCAGAAGGACACAGCTGTTGTATCAAACAGAAGAGAAATATTGAAACCTGGAGAAGAAGCATAATTAGGTTTAAATAACCTTCAAAAAGTACAAGTTTTAAAAGCTAAGCTGCAGTGCAAAGTTGCTGTACTTCATTGTTTCTTAACTAACCGTAAACCGGTCCTGTGTCATGCAGGGAGCCACAGGAAGACCTGGACATCCTGGTCCAGCAGGGTCAAAAGGCGAAAAGGTATTCCTTCTTTTTAGTCTTGGTAAAGATCTGTGAAGGTTTTGCAATCCCATTGCACTCCTATGTTTTGGGGTTTGTTTTTATTTTTTTTTAATATAGAGTGCAAACAAGGACTTGATGTACATTTTCAAATTAAGTTTTGTGTCTTAATGCAAGTACTTTCCTCTAACAATTACATATATACAGGCTTATATTTTGAAGCATTGCCCTTCTGCTGTATGAAAGTTGCCAAGATTGTTCTCTAAATATCACATATTATCTACAATTTAGGAAAGTGAGAATATGTTTGCGAAATACTATTTGTTTGCGAAGTTACTGCTTACCTTGGCTTTTCATTCTTTTGCCAATATTTTAGACAAAAGTGATTGCATGCTTTAAAAGTGCTTCACAAGTACTGAAAGTTATGGAGTACAAGTTATTCTGCAAAAATATATAAGCTTCCTTTGTACTTAATTTACACAGTTAGAGCACTGCTCTTTATCAGTGTTTTATATGCTTTTTTATTAGGCACTCAATATTATCCATTATACCTAACAAATCAAATCTGTTTCTTGGGCACTTCAGATCAGTGAAATGCAGCAGACACAAACTTAGTTTGCTGCAAAATACTTTCTGTGGCAAGTTCTCCATTTTGTATATGAATAGACATTTCTGCAGGTTTTTTTGGCTTTAGCCTGGAGTGTGATCCTACAAATAATCTACAAAACCTTGACTCTGGTATGAGTAAGAAAGGAAACTATTTTGTAAAGCTCTGAAATTATTTCAGTCTAAAAACGGATTGAAAACTGTCTCCTTAAAGACCATAAGTAGCGGAAATTTACCAGTTATTTCCTTTTTATGTAAGTGAATGCAAAACAGAAGTCTTTGTTAGTTCCTTGGTTACAATTCACACATAGGTGGGAATGAGAAGCTGTGTCTCTATAACTAGTGTCTCACTGATCAAAACGGGCAAAAGAGCAGTGAAGGAAACTGAAATACAGCCAGAGTCTTTTCCTCCTCCTTCCTTCATCTGGGGAACGTGTTTGAGAAATTATCATTTAATATGGTTTCTAAAGTATAGTACTTTTATCCCCTAGGAAGTATTCCAAATCACTCTGGAATCTGACAGTTTCTATCAATTAGCAGGACTATCTGGAAATTATCCTAGTATAAATATTTAATTATAATTGTATTTTTCTGGTGAGCTAATTATTGTCATTGAACATTTAGCTTGACTTTTGCCACCTTACTAATTTTAAATATGCACCTTAAGTGTCTCACTGACATGTTTAATAAGATCCAGCAAAGACACTAAAAAATTCTGGCTGACCTGTTCCAAATTATGCAGAGTTTTTAACTGAATTGTAGTGATGAGATTTTGAAAAAAATCTTGTTTGAGAGATTTGATGTTGAAACCTTTGTAACTCTACACTGTCCAGAGACCCAACCATTCTGCTGGGGCAAAAATCCAAAAGCTTTGTTTTTTTTAATATAAGCAATTCAGTGCACATCAACAGAAACATCTACACATACAGGTAACCACAGATTAATGTTTTACAGTGAAAACAAAAAAAGATATTAATTATATTTCTTCATTAGGAATATCTTTATTTTTATTCAATGTGTGTCTAAATAAACTGAACTTCTGAAACTGTAGCCCTTCTTTACCTGGGAATGATCAGCTGAGGACTGGCCTTTGCAAAATGATATACAAAGCATAGAATGAATGTTGAGTTTTATCTGCTAATTGATTACAATTTGATATTACCATTTTATTTTTTCCCCTCTGCCTCTTGGTATATATGAAGTGTTTGACAACCCAGGTTGCTACTACTGTTTTGCCACAAGGAAGTTACTACATATAAAATATCAAATAACTAACAAAATAAAAAGCTAATATGAAGTAGTGATTAATAACTTGTCTAAAGCTTAAGCAAGTGCTGGGCAGAAGAATTTTTTTCTATAACCTGTTTATAATGACTGTGTCTCTTACTTATTGTCATTATGGTCATCATTGCTTGGGTATGGAATAGACCCTGATATCAGTTACAGTAAATGAGTTATGTGAATCTCTTGCCATACTAGGGTAGTGAAGGTTCTCCTGGGAAACCTGGACCACCTGGGCCTCCGGTGAGACATTTTGTTTTATATTTTGAATGCTATATTAGGAACAATATACCTGTGAGTAAAATGTAATATAAATAATTGACTGTCAATCTAATATGTCTTAATAGCTCAGGAAGACAACAATGTCATTTTGCAGAAGATTTCTGTATTCCTTGTTTTCCTTGTGATTTGTTTCTAAAGCCATCCTAGAAACCTGATCAGATGAGAACCTTGGTGTCCAATGTTATTAAAGTAATTTAGGCAGCTTGAGTACTTGGGATCAGGGAACTCAAGGAACATAAGAGAAAGCCCATGACACTCACTCGACTGCAAATTAATAGGAGTAGTACCTAATACAAAATTAATTCTGGAGAACTATAGAATAATAAATATCAAAATGTAATGTACATTGACATTTACAGGTTTCTGGGTTCATAATTTTAAAAAAAAAATCACAATCTGCATTAGTATGTATCTTATATACTTGCTGAAATGTCTGGTGTCTTTGAAAAATTAATAGAGAACTAAAATGCCACCACAGTGTTGCCGAGTGATGGGGCTTGAACAGAGCAAGAGTTCTACCTTTATGATTGATAGTTGTGACACTTACTTGGGTTTTATGTTTTAAAGGGTATGCCTTACAATGAAAGAAATGGAATGAGCAGCTTATATAAACTCCAGGTATTTCTCTTATACTGTTTTGGGGTTGTGTTTTTTCAATCACCACCTATTTTTGGCCCAGCTCAACTTTTAAACTTGCTGTTACAGGGAGGTGTGAGTGTCGCTAGTTATCCAGGTCCACCAGGACCTCCAGTAAGTATTAACCAGCAACATAATTTCTGATAGTTAATTAACATTGTAGCAGAGCAGTTGGTTAGTTGCATGCATGGAATTGGCATGAAATTTGCTTTTATATGTGACAGGTAGAAAAAAATAGGATACGATTGGTATGGAGTAAATTTAAGCGTTAAATTTAGATGTGTTTCACCTTAGCAAGTAAAGGCTGCAAAAAGATACATAATCTGGTATTGGACTCTTTAGTATCCAAATATCTTAATGTGTAATATAGTATTTATACTTGGTGATGGCATAGTTTTGTAATGGATTAAATTTGGTGCTGGAAATTCGAAGCTCATGAATTTTGATCTCAGATCTGTCACTGATTTACTGCATGGTAGCTACAGTGCAGAAAAACGTGTAAAACCAATGGTTATGTTGTGGCAGTAATGCAGGGATGGTGTTTCCAGGCTGCAGAGTGCAGATGGACCTCATTGCAGCTGGACACTGTTGCTTTGGTTCTGGGGAGCCAAAGATGCTGTGCGCTTACTTAGGTCCTCCTTCTTATTAGTGTCATAGGCAAGTTCTGGTGTTTAAACATGACTGTCATTTTGATAACCCCATAAAATTGTTGTAGCCATTAGTGAGGACTTTGTCCTTACACTATGTGCCATTTGTAGTCACAGGCTGGCACCAGAAAGCAGACCTGTCATTCTCTGTATTCTGGAAGAGCAAAACAAATTAAAATTTTTACTAAGATTTTGTAATAAATTAATCATCTGAGAGGGCTGGACATAGTACTAAATGCTCTGCGTTAGCAGAGGATACTCGTAATGCAGTTATACAAAAAAAAAAAAAATCAACTTATTGTGTAAGCCTATTCTTTTTAAAATGTTTTTCCACATATTTATTTCTTTGCAGGGTCCAAAAGGAGATCCTGGCACAGTGGTATGTATGTATTTTTTCGTCATGATAAAGAATTCCCCAAGTAGTTCAACACATGATTCTAATCACAACGGTGGAAGAATCCATTAACATTCTTTGGCAGGTAGCTTACCTCCTGCAGAATCAATACATCTGAAAAAGCCTTTTTAAGTTCCATGCTTGCGAATTTTGCGACTTCTGGTAAATAGTTCTAAATTATAATGTAATGAATGACTGAATATAATATTAACTGCTTGTGGATTCATCTCTGATGAGCTGTCCCTGGATATATCTAAGAACAGGGATTGTGAAATAAAGGTAGAAAATAACTTAAGAGCTATTAGATTATTCTCAATGTTAAGTTTGAAAGCGATAAGGGAGGAGGGACAGTATGCTTCATCATGCAAGCTAGTAACAACTAGAAATTGATGTTTTCTTTGGAAATGGCATGACAGCAAGTATGATCATGTTGCTTCTGGTGAGCAAGATGATGATGATCACGGGAACCACTATACCTTCCAATTATGCATTTTGACATTCAAAAGCAAATCTATTTAACTTTTTTAAAATTATTATTCCCTTAAGCACTGCATTATGTCCTTTTCATGTGGATATTCTTTAAAAAATATTATTTAAGTTATCGCTTCCATTTAAAAAAAGAAAAAGAACTCTACACATAAAACAGACTTCTCCAGTGGAGAATGTTTCTCTTTGAAACTTGAATGGCTATACAGGGCCCTAGTCTGTGCGTCCCTGGCTACAGAGTAAGCTTTGTCTAGGGAACAGAGCACAGAATTGCTTGGAGGTTGGTTCTCTGGTTGACAGCACAGTCTTACAGCCTAGGCCTCTACTACCTGGAGGTGCTTTGAGCTGACCTTGTCTTGTAGGAGCACTGGAGGGGATTCTTCTGGTTTACATTCTCCATTGATCCAAATATTCATACAATGTCTCTGGGAAAAGCTTAACTTGTAGATCACTAAAATAGGTCATTCTAAAATCTCTTTACCTAATAACTGGTTAGCTGTTTTACTAAGCTCAAGTTAAATAATCTACTGTTGCTTGCTGTTTGATGTTTCTCGTGTAGAGTACAGAAATTCTAATGTTTGTAATCCTTTTTAAATTAAAAAAAATACTCAAAAAATCAGGGCGACCCAGGACCAATGGGTTTACCAGGACTGGAAGGACTCCCAGGGGAAAAGGTATGACTCTTAAAAATAAGGCTTCTTCGTGGCAGTCATATGCGGCTAAATGTTTTTTGAAACCTTGTTAGAATTTTTTTTGTGTAAGTTAATGTTTCTGAGTGAAAAATATTTGCACACTTATCTGTATTTCCTTCTTTAGCTTCACTGTGGATCTGTTCCCCCAACATAAAATTTCATTTTCTGAAAATGGAAAATTGTGTGTAGGAAGTATTGTATTTTTTTGTTGTATTATTTATACTAGCATTCCATCAAGTTATATATATACCATATATATTTACAGTTATATAGAGTATATACTACATATAACTGTATTACTTGGTAGTAATATAGTTAACGTGTATCTAATTAGGGTCATTAGTTCTTATTCTCTGTTGAACATCAGCTCCTGTTTACAGTCTGTCTGTTTTGTTCTCAGACTTATGGCATAGCTACAGATCTGAAGAGATAGTTGTACCTGGACAAGTCTAGGCCTAGCGCATGCAAGACTTCCGTATTTTAAAAAAGGCTATTTGAGATGAATGTAAAAACATATTAGAAGAGTAAGATTATATAAAAGGTTAAAAATAGAGGGAGAGACTGGTGCTCTACAGTTTCTATTGTGTTGCATCTTGTTCCAAAGCAAGAAAAAATCTCTTTTGTCAGACTGTTGCTCATTATTCTGAAAAGGCCACTTCTTTCTGATTTGCTTTTCTTGCACTTTGTACAGCGTGTATGACACCACCAAGGCACACCCCAGACCCTATCATATTCTCCAGCTCCTTTGGGTAGTTCAAGTAGTCTGCAGTACAGTGCTAGGAAATGATCCTTTCCTTCAGCTGGTGGCATGTTTCAGAATTCTACTTACTAATTGTGGGGGCTGCTACGAATTTAGAGAAAATCTTGTTATGAAATGCTACCATGTTCTAGCTTTTTGGTATTCATTTCTAGATATGACAAAGTACAAAAAATTCATCAGAGGAATGAAAAAAATCTGTAAATCTGTGTTTTCTGTCAGTGTAAAGTTTGATTTTTGCCCATATCTTCTGAATTTAAGAAGACAAAAAGAGTAACTTTTTTTGAAAATTGAACATTTATTCAGCTTTTTGAATTACCTGTTATTCAATGGCTTCATACAAGCATCATTTACTGAAACTTATTTTTCATGAAAAAGCAATATAAATTGAAATCTCTCCCAATATCACTGTGCATTACTTCTACTTGTGCAGAGAGCAGGGAGTTGCAAGAGCTAAGGTAGGTGTCTACACTAGATGTTTAAATTAGATGAGGTGATTCTTGCTCTGGAAGACTACAAGGTACAAGCGATTAAAGACTAGTCTGATTTCAAATTGAACAAACAGGGAGATACTACAGGTCCAACTGACACAAAGTGGAGGCAAGAATTAAATAAAGGGAATAAGCAATGGAGCAGATCGTATAAACAAGCTAATTGGCTGTTTGGCACTTTCCCAAACTAAATTGGGTCAAGATTCCACACTTCTAGAGGAAATAAATGAACAGAATCCAAGGGTCTGCCTGCCAGTCCCAGCAGTATAGTGCCTGCTGGTTTTTAATTTAGAGCTATTAGGTACAGAATGCCATCTTCCACAGACAATGTTGGCTGTAATTTCATGGTAATTTCATCAGCTGGCTTAAGAACTTTGCATCCTTGGGGTAAAATGTCCCTTCCCTCAGCTGTGCTGACACAGTGGTTTGTGCAGCTAATGCTGTGAACCACATTGCTGAAAGGACCAGAATAAACCTTAAAAGAAGCAAATGTTGCAAGGGAAGAATTAGGACTTTCTAACTTCACTGTCACACACAGCATATAGGGAAAACACCACAATACAAGTTCTGGGTCCAGAATAGCCACAGGGCCAGAGTGCAGGGCTGCAGCCAGTATGCTCTGCTACAGGTACCTAGCGCTCAGGTGTTCCTGAGGTACATGTTGTCTTCCTCCCTGAGGTATGAACTTGCATTAAATTACTTGTCTTAGCCTTGTGGCCTGCAAATAAGCTGCTCCCTTGAGACGCAAGGTCGGACATTGAACTTGTCGGCTGTCTCACTTTGTGTATTGGAGTTAAGTGTTTCTAGTTACCAGCATTATCATTGCACTACCTGAACAAAATGATGAGAATGAGACAAAAGAGCATTAGGTATAAGAACAGAAACCAGAAATCCCAACATCCCCTGGAGCTCTTCTGCACAACAGAATATGGCTGTAGCTGTGTTGGTAGAGCTTTCGTAAAACAGCTCCAGGTAACATAAGTTCTGCTCACAAAAATGCTCAATTCTTAGTATAGTTTTAATTGCACCAGGGATTTTCTGACATGACTATAGGAACTAGGAGCCTGATATTTTTTCTTACTTTTTAGCTGTTAGACTAGCAGAGCGTAGTGTTACGGACTAATGCGTGTCAGCAGTAAGTTAGGGCAAATCTTGCTGTGTAGAATTTTTACCACTGGTGAGCTCCATTCGTCTGTTTTGGGTTATAGTCCTCTCAAGAGAGAAAGATGAATTTGTGCCCATAACTCATCAGTTCTAGCACAAAAGCCATTGTCTTAGCTTAAAGCATAAATGAAGGTGGCTGTAGGCTAAAAAGAGAAACTTTGCCATGAAAGGACCATGGTACAAGCAAATCAAGGATGTTGACTTGCAGCAAATGGATGAGTGGGTAGCCAGAGGGCAAAAACTTCCTTGAACGACACATCTGAAATACAGGGATGTTGATATGATAGTGAATTATGCTATGTGAATTTTGGTTATTGTCCTGACCACAAATAATAACTATTTGGAAAACTAGTGATAGGTTAGGGACTTTTTTATCCCTTTTCAAGGAAGGCCTCAAGCACAGTATAAGGGATAGCATGGAAATTACAATATTATACAAGAGAACCTCAACAAAGGATTTAAGTTACTTGCTTAAGTCTGTAAAACGAGTCAGTGGCAGAGATAAATATTAGCATCTAGCAGACCCTGGTTCTTGTCCTCACTTCCAGTTCACTGAATAATCCTTCCTCAGGTTTTAATGGGAATTGACAAAACATTCTGCTTTGCATGTTACGATTTAAGTACAGATTTATCATTTCTTCAGGGTGACCGTGGACCAGCTGGCACACCAGGAGTGGCGGGAACACCGGTACGTATATTCATTAATGAAAACTCAGTTTGTTAGAAGCTGATAAAAGAGGTCAAGCAAGGTGTTGAGCTGTTGCCTTAATCACTGTTCATGGAACGCCTGCGCTTGGCTAATACTTTATAGGCAGGTATGAAAATCTTGTGTTTTTCCTAAAGATATTAGATTTTTAATACGACTGAGGGTTCGTATTAGTATTAAAATGACAGGAGGAAGTGGTGTGAATACATGATAAAGCTGGAATTTGGGGCTGCATATGCTTAGTTTAAGAAAGCATATGAGATTCTTCTCATTGCCTCAGTTTAATATAGATAAAGACATTTTCTGTGTTCCTGGGCATGCACAAATTTCTGAGCATCTTTCCACCACAAAGAAAAATGATGAACATTAGTTAATGCAGTCCACCAGGATCTGCATATCAAGTCAATGAGACAGTTGCTTTAGGGGAATGCTTTGTCAGCTATTTATATGTAGTATTCAGGGAAGCTTCTGAAAGTCATCCAGAAGCTTTGTTGTAGGTGAAAGTAAATGTAACTAATGATAAATTGAAATTCTAATTATGCGTTTGTGTTCCTAAAGGAAATGAAGACAACTTTTCTTTAGATTGCATTCACAGTTTAATAAAAAAGTTTATCCATATTTCAGGAAGCAATATGGAGCTATTTATATGCAAATACATTTATTATTAAATTTGGGCAGCTACCAATCCATTCAGGAGCTGTTTTCCAATTATGAATACGTGTTTCATGAAATAAAGAGAAGTTTGTGCCTATGCACTCCCAATTCCATTAGCCACTGATTGAGTCTATTTACTGTGAGTTCCAAGAGGGGACATCAGTTTAAATAGCTTAAATTAAAAACTTAACTAAATTAGTTAAGTTCTCCTAAAACAAGGTGATATTGCACATGTAAGGGGAAAATAGAAATATTTCTATTCATGCAAGAGTTTCAAAGTTTGTAGCTCTGAAATACATTTCACACTGTGAATCAGTAATGCAGTAGCCCTTTAGGATGGTCACAACTATTCATTTCCTGTGTATTCCAATTCCACTAGATATTTTCCAAGTTTTATTCTTGTTGCTCTCTCTTCTAGTTGAATATGAAGTATTTAATGAATTTGCTTTGTGACTGATGGAGTTGCATTCTGTTGATTACGTTTAATTCTAATAAAATCCACTGAAATAAACTATTTGCTTCAACATTTTATGCTAAGCAGTTTCGATTAACAGATGTATGAGAGACAAGATTTTTTAGTAGTCCAGGAAGCATTTTTGAAACACATCCACATATCTTACTGGAAGAGAATTTGTCTTCCTTGCCCAACATTATTCCCTGGTAGACCCTTTTTCCTATTTGGGAATATAAACCTCTCTTTTTAGCTTTGGCTTTTTGCTAAGCAGGATCATCGGGGAAACTTGGACAGAGATTCTGCAAGAATTGCCACCAATTACTATTTCCTCAGCATGAACCCTCCATCCTGTTGTTCCTGAAGTTGTAACTGGTGTTGATGTGTTAGATCCCTCACTTATACAAGTCAGCTGAAGATCTGACCTAACGAAATTTCCAGGAAATGTAGTTTCAGGGTCATAGATTCTTGTCTGGGGCTGAACCAGGTAGGTTTTTAAAGGCAAGGCTTCATTTTAAACAATAAAAAAACATTTAAAATCACCATGTAAATGATGAGATGACAAAGGATTGTGAACTCTGTCAGGCTGAACGTAAAACAATCATAAAAGTGGCCCAAAAAGAGCATGAAGAAAATTTGAAAAAGGTATTAAGTCAGTAATAAACTCAGTTTTAGAAAAGTCAGGAGTAGGAAGTATCTGAAGGGAAAAAATCTTGATTTCACATATATAGTGATAAACTTTGATCTGACTATGACTTCTCAAGAAGGAAATCATGGTGTTGTACAGGAAAATTTCACGAAAATATTGTCTCAGTATTCAGAAAGAGTAAAGAAGATGAAGTGGTTGAGTTATGTTGTACCAAACAGTCAGATTAACATGACACAAATATTTTTTCAAATCTGGTAAAATATTTCTTCTTTTAAAATATTTAATAAGCACTAACATTAATATTTCACTGAAATATATATTTTTTTCTTATTTTTTGATGTAAGAGAAATTGTTTGGCTTTCTAGTAATTAGAATTTGTAATGTTCTCTTTTTGCAGGGAAAGCCAGGATCTCCCGGGTCCCCAGGGATGCCAGGGGAACCTGTAAGTGCAGATTTGAATTCTGGACTCTTACAATAGTACATAAATATTTCAAACATTGAATGCAAGATATTGCATGCAGGTTATACATCTTTTTTCTTCTTTCTCAGGGTGAAAGAGGACCTATAGGAGATATAGGCTTCCCTGGGCCAGAAGGACCACAAGGAAAACCAGTAAGCAATTTTATACTGTATTTTTATATATGTTCATTACAAAAAGATGGATCTTAGTATATCAATTACATCCTGCTTTGTGTTAGTCTAGGTAACATCTGAAGAACACTCAGAGCTACAGCACTCAATAGTAAACATCCAATCAAGAATTCCTGGTATTGTGATGTTTTAAAGTCAAAGTTACTGAGATGTTGCCTTTTAAAGGTCTTACAAGGGTGCTTTGGATCCTATTGACATGAAGGATCATATTTTCGTATCATAAGGATCATATCATATCTCATATTTTTTCAGAAGGAGAATATAACCCAGATACTCAACACAATCTATAAAGGATGGAGTGACACTATATACTTGATTTCAGTTTTGATAGAGAAGCATGTGCTTCATGACTGAACAAACTTTATAGCTCTTCTGTATACAGGTGATGCTGCACTGCAGCTGAAGCATTTACTGTTCACTTAGGATATGTCTGACCTGACCTCTTTATTTAATAAAAGTCAGACAGCAGTGAGTGTAGTCAGCACTGCCTGAGCTGTTTTAAAACAACTCTAGTTTGTATTCTGGAAGTGGTTCAGCTAGAATAGCACAGAACTCATTATCTCCCCTGACGCTTGATGTTTTGGGGACAAGCATAAGAAGCAGACCATTTCAGTTTGTCAGCACGTCTCCACGTTGCACTTCTATCTTGAAAGAAGAGACAGTTCCTGTAACTTCTGCAGCAGATTTGCCCAAGGTGCCAAGATCTGTGCAGAACTTCACTTTGCAGCATGAGAGGGAAGGAAATATTCCTGGTGGTTTTGCTCATGCAAGTCCTTCTTTCTCACTCAGTGACATAGCACTGATTTTGCTGCATATGCAGATCCATATGTGTATATATTTTCTAATATATATTTAGATCCATATCAATATATATGTATAATTTCCTAATAAAGAACGCCAGAGCATTTGACTTGCAGTTATCTGACATTGTGCAACTGTTAACATACTCTCAGATGTTATTTTGCCCCCTGCTAACCAGGACTGCCAGAAAATATCACATTACAGTTCGGGGCATAACGTGAGCCTGGGACTGTTTCTAGCAGGCGGCATGAATGAGACCACTCTCTTTTAGGAAAGAAATATGGTTAGCCCAGGAGGCTGAAGCTGTGCTGTGGCATAAGTCTTTAGGACCAATTAATGGATCTGGCCACTTACTATTAAGAGGGATAGTGCATCAAGCCAATATCTAGAATAAACGAAATCTCTTCTGTGGTTGTATAATGACTAGCTGGGACTGGAAAACTGCATGTATAGGTCCATATTCCACATTTTCACAATTTCAATATAACTTGGCATTTAAAGTTGTGTGATCATTAAAGTTGATGTATATCTTGATGCCAAAGATTTTTTCCACTTTGCTCTCGGCTCAAATTTAGTGTGCTTGCAGTTCACTATCGCTCTGAGCTCTGTTATTTCACATCTCAAGGCCATTGGCAAGTATTTCTACACTGCAGTCACAAAAACTTGCCTCTGCAGCTTCAGAATATGTACTGATACCAACACTGAAAACTGAGCTTTACCCTTGATATTGTTAAAACATATGTACATAAGCATACTTATTAATTTTTTTTTTTTTTTTTCATAGGGAATCAATGGAAAGGATGGATTGCCAGGTCCTCCGGTAGGGAAACATCCTTTGACATACTAGTGTGTTTTATTCTTCACAGATACCATAGCAGTCAGTCCTAGACAGTTGCTTTCACTTCTGCTAACAGATGAATGTATAAAAAAAAGCCTTTGAGTGATATGTTTATCCTTTTTCAAAAAACATTTTTTCAGGGTGCTGTGGGGAGACCAGGAGACCGAGGACCCAAAGGAGAACGTGTAAGTCCCTTGTTTTAATAGCTTTTTTCTTTTTACTGAGCATCTAAGCACCTCATCAACATATATTTTACAGGCAAAACCAAGAAATTAATTCTCTGAGCTTCAAGCAGTCTCTAAGAGTTTTAGTCCTAGACACCACTGTAAGTTAGCATCAAGCTGGCTTCTGCATTTAGAGGAAAATCACATTTTATAGACTTTCTAACACAGTTGCCCTAGACAGTGTAAACTGATGAATAGGTTGAAAATTGGAAAGTAGCTAATCCTGTTGTGAGGCTGTCAGACTTTGCAAGAGCTGTAAACCTTGCCCCATCATCATCCCTGGGATCCTGGTATATCACAAACACAAATCACGTTTTATATAAAACAAGCTTGTTACGCTTAGGCAGCAGGAGTGCCAGTGTAATACCTTACTGCTTCCCAAAATGTTTCGACAATTCTGTTTATGATGGACAGGAATCCTTGCGGAAGGTGAGAGATGATCTTTATTTTGCAAGAACAAAGAAAACCCTTGTGCATACCCTGCTCATGTCATAATAATACTAAAGCCCTGATGTCCTAATCCCATAGATGCATTTACTTGATAAATCATAAAACACTTCGCTGTGTAATTTGGAAAAGGAAGTGCTGCTTCATGACACTGAGGAAACATCAGATTTTAACCTTTATTACAGTAATTATGCCTTGCAAAAGTTAACAGCTTGCAATGTTTGATTTCTGCCTTTAAGTACGCAAAGAAAATGTAAGAGCCTTCTCTACTGTACCACCTACTGTGGCTGCACCACTCAGCTTTGACCTTCTCAGTGTTAACCTCTCTGAATGCCCTGCAAATAGTATCGTGCACATACAACCAGAAAGGAGGCTGGACCTGCAAGTGCATGACCTTGGAGTAGACTGACAGGGAGGAGGATGTTGAGAAAGGCTCTGAGAGACAGAGACACAGCCTTAGCGTGCTTCATCAGAGTGAAGTCTGGGAAGCTCCATGGTAAGAGGACAGGGTGTATTTTTTCCACTCTCATTGGGGACAGAGTACATAAACATACACAGGTACCTGGGAGCTATAGATGTAAATATGGATATATACTTGCTTTCAGAGACATAACAGATGCCTGAATCTGCTCCCATATCTGAGATCACTGACAAACATGTCACAATCTAGCTCTCTATGTACAGAGTAAAATAAATATATGTGCACACACATATATGCAACCAAAATATAGAGATACATGTTAAAAAATAAATCAATTATCGGAAGTATTTTTGTCTCAAGTGATAATCAAAATCTCTCACAACCTTTTATAAGAGGTAAGTTACAAGTATGGCCAATGCAGTATCTGAATACAGTTTTCAGAAAGCTTTCAGTTGTCCCTTATAATTCTGCAGGAAAAGGAAAGGTTTGATGAAAACAAGGGGAGATCTGTCTAAGAAATAACACTGAAATACACAGCAGAAGTCCGCATCTCAGATAAGAGATGAGTGGGGGAGTTGGAGCAGATTTTTTTCTTTTGCTCTGGATCAGGTATTACAGAACTGCATCTGTGAGAGAGATTGCAGTGATCACAGAAAATTAACACAAATTAAGATTTGCCTGCAACCATTATTATTACTGATGTACAGTGCATTCCTTCAGTTTGAGACCAGCCACTTCAATTAGAGAAAGAGAAGTATCAAAATTGGAAGGGTGAAATAAAACTCTTGAGGTTTTCACGTCTAAGTATATCCTTGTAGAATCTACTTAAAAAAGGAAGAGGTCGCCTGGGCTGAAATAATCTTGCACATCCTCTGAGTGAGAAAACACTGATGTTATTCCTACTTTATAAATTGAGTGACATTTGATTAAAGTCATGGTGACTGGCTTATTTATTGCTATTGTCTGCATACCTTGGTCACAAACCAGGAGCACACTGGAGTAGAGCTTGTAGAAACCCAGGCAAAACAATAGTTTCTTCTGCACAGAATTTAGTACAAGATTAAATGCAAGAAATTGGAGAATACTAGAAAGGGACTGGATAAATCAGCACTGTAGCCATATTGCAAAAGGCAAATGTCCTACTCTGTTTTTTGTGCACTTTATAGTGAATGAGATTTTAAAGAGGAATCTGGAGGAAGATATGACCTAGTTTTATGAATTTTTACAAGGAGTTTCTTCCAAACACAAAGAAAACACTGGAGGCAGTTATAAATGTGCTTGTTTGAAAAGTGGCTGTAGTGATTGATCTGACTCCTACACCTTGGCAGCCTGTAACATGGGACTCATTTAGAAGAAATTCAATTCTGGGATCAGCTTCTCAATGCCATAGCACCATGGTCTTAAAGAAACCTCTGTTTTTTTTTATTTCTAGTAAAATAGCTATCTCTATTTACTCTATAAGGTTTTACACTTGAGAAATTATTTATGTATATTTATGCCTTAAATATGTTTTTAATAAAGGGTTATTATAAGTATAGTAATCTTCAGACATCTTTTTTTATATATGCAGATGTATACATGTGTGTGAGGTCTTACTTGAAAGTGCTATCAGACAAAATTATGTGGTCTGTGGCTCCCTATACTGAACTTCAACCTCAAAAAAGTGACTACACTAAACATTATATTAAAGGCTATACTTCTTTCAAATTTTGCAGTAACATAGTAAAACAGGAGTTGTTCTCCAATTTTAGAATGTTTCACGTTGCTATGAGTGAAGCAGGAGATGGAGGTTGGATGCAAAAACTTTAAAGCCAGGAAAGAGCCTCTTGCCTGCAGACTACAGAAGTTCTGCTTCTCAGTCAGAATCCTTCTTGTGCCCTGAGTTTCTCAAGGTGTTGCAATATATATATTGGGATATAATGGTTGCATGGAGGACAGAACACTTTTTCCTAGAAATCTTAAAATTTATAGAAACCTGCAAAGGAAGGTACACCCCTTCCATCAGAACATTACTCTTCCAGTTGCCCCAACGCACATACATTCCCTCTTCTACTCCCTTTGACTGTTGAAAATCTGAGAGTCTTTGACAAGGGTTACAGGTGTCTTTTGGGTATTACATCATATTTTGTCTTTTTTTTCTGCTGAATAGCCAGATTAGCCAGGTGTTTATTGCAAACCATTCATATGCTGCATATTTAGAGTTTTGTCCAAAGTATTAATGCAACTAAAACTGAAAATCAAATGTCTGCAGTGTTGGCAGGATAGGTCTTCTAAAAGAAACACAATAAACATAATCATGCTGAGATTTTTTCCATGTCACTTTGACTTTCCTGACTATGTGATCATGCTTCCAGTTTGCAAGGTTGTATTTGGTTTATGTGGCAAGTTTTTGGTAACAGAGGGTCTGCAGAGGTGACCTCTGTGAGAAGACACTAGGAGCTGCCCCCATGTTGGACAGAGCCAATTCCAGCTGGCTCCACAACATGCCCACTGCTCTTCAAAGCTGAGCCCATAAGTGACTTTGGTACTGGCTGTGTGATAGAAGGGCTAAAAAATGGTGCTCAACAGGTGGGAGAGAGGAGTGAGAAAACCTGACAGAAACAACGATGCAGACTTATAGTAGGTGAAGAAGGATGTGCTTCATGCACCTGAGCAGAGAGTCCCCTGCAGCCTGTGGTGAAGACCATGGTGAGGCAAGCTGTCCCTCTGCACTCCATGAAGGACAACAGTGGAGCAGATATACACCTGCAGTCCATCCACTTCTCCATTGCTGGAGCAGGTGCATGTGCCCTGAAGAAAACTGCAGCCCACAGAGGGCCCACATTGGAGCAGGCTCCTGGCAGAACCTGTGGCACACGGAGAGGAGCCCACACAGGCGCAGGTTTTCAGGCAGGAACTGTCCCCTGGGGGACCCACACTGGAGCAGTCCATTCCTGAAGCACTACAGCCCTCGGGAACGACTCACTCTGGAGCAGTTCATGAAAGGACCCCACGGTGGAGCAGGAGAAGAATGTGAGAAGAAAGAAACATCAGAGATGAAGTGTTAAGGACTGACTGAAACCCTCATTTCCCATCCTCCTGCACTGCTCAGAGGAAAGAGGTAGAAGAGTGAGAAGTTGAGCCTGGAAAGAAAAGGAGTGACTTGAAGGGAAGATCTCTTTATCCTGCTCTGTTACTAAACTGCAATATATTAAATCAATCTTCCCCAAGTTTAGTCTGTTTTCCCTTGACAGTAATTGGTGAGTGATCTCCCTGTCCTTACCATGACTCACAAGCTTTTAATCTCATTTTCTCCCTGTCTTGTTGAGGAGAGGGAGTGAAAGAGTGGCTGGGTGGGTAGCTGGCAGGCAGCCATGGTCAACCCACCACTGTTATAGGTGTGAGATGATGAAGTCTCAGATTTCAAGGTTTGTTTGGGTTTTTTTTCCCATGATAGACTTTCAGAGTTCAAAAGCTCTGCACTGTTATTGAAGGCAATTCAAATTCCAGCTGGGAATGCATTGTGATTTCAGTTAATGCAGTAAAAAGTCGCAGGTTACGTCTTTGTAGTGAGACTTAGTTATATTCAGTAATAAGCTCTAACTCACTGGAAATCATACAGATTGGAGGACAGATAAGTGATAAAAATGTTATACAACCTCCTACTTGCATCCTTACCTTTCTGTTTTAATCTTCTCTTTTTCAATCTTTACATGTCCTATAAATATGACTTAAGAATATAACTACACTTTCACTGGTTTGTTAGTCAGTGACCTGAATACAGTTTACCAGCACTTGCTGTAGATTAAGAATACAATTAGTTCCATTCATTCTTCCCTCATGAATGCAGATTCTGGATTCATCTAGCAATGCTGTAGGCAATTCTTGGTGTTCTTTGCTGCCTATGATACCTAACATTAACTTAAGTGATACAGCAAGGGCAGTCAGTGACCTCTAAGACCTACCAGCTGTTCATTAACAATCTGGATGTGTGACTTGTGGCACTCTGCTCCCCAGCTCCAGTGCAGTCAACCAATAGCTAATACATCAAGTTACTCTAAAAGATTTAATTCTTCACAAGTAAAACAAATGTAAATGCCATCTCAGCCATGATGAGAGATGTTGCTGGCCAGGACATTGACCTTTAGTTTATTTTGCTTGTAAGGAATTCACTCATTATAAATGCATTTGTGTATTTGTTATTTCTTTGATTACTGAAATTTTGTGTACATGTAGAAATAAA